GTCTATTGTTACCAATTTACTTGCCTTAGAAATATAGTGTTGTCCAGGGACCTAGAAATTAGATTAATTGGAAACTAAGGGAAGGGTTTATCATAAAATGATTACCTCTTAACGACACACATATGGGTCTTGTGTAATTTAGTCTGATGCAGCAGGGGAACTAGAGTTGGTTATTGGGGAGAGATGAGATCTGCAGCTGGAAAATTTTATCTGGCTCTGCAGGGCATAAATTTCATCAGGCTGTTTCATCAAAGCTACTTAAAGCTTCCCTCAATCTTTTCTCACTTCCCTTTCTGTACTTCCCTGGGGCTGCCAATATCTAGACTGCTTTACTCTGTGTGCTGAACGATATAAAGAATAATTTTCTATCTGATGCCCATGTTCTCCATATTCCCAGAGATGAACAGGTAGAAAAGGGAAACAAGCAGCTTGGAGGAGGGAATGTGCTTTGAATTGATGAAGCAGAACTACAGCTAGGAAATGAATAAACCTCCTTAGAAGATGACTCCCTAGAAAATGAAATTTGCAGTTAGGGATGGGATTCCAAAGGCTGTAGAAAAGGGCAAGGTGACCTGTGGAAGCTCCTTTCCAAAACTTCTGCCCTTCTTCACTCCATCCAGATTATCAGACCCTCCTACTTAAGACATAACCTCATCCTCAAAAAGGTTTTTGTCCCAACTGGGAACCAGGAACCACCGAATTGGCAGCCAAAATGAAGGTAGCAGCACAAACAGGGTGGGTCTCCACCCATTGATAATTCTGCTTCCTAGGTGCCACCTGGTGGTGAAAAGCAGTAAGCGGCTAACAGGAAGGATGGCCATTTGTTGGAGGAAGTGTCTTACAGGGTGGAGCTTCAGCGGGGGAGAGATTATCTACACTTCCTGGACTTGAAATCTGTAATTGCTTTCTAGGGGAGACAGAGGGTCAGATGTGGTATTCTGGTCTCAGCCCACTCATAAAGATGGGAAGGCAACGGAATGTGAGGAAATTTTCTTCTGTATAATTTACTGCCAGGTATTGGTTATCCTATCGTTGGATGGCTCTATCAGAACTCTTTTATAACAAGTCTGGAGTTAAGACTGAATAGATTCTTGACCCCATTACTTACTAGCTGTGGAACCCTGGACAGATCGATCCATCGATCGATCTATCTAATCTATTTATTTTATTTATGGTACCAGGGTGCTTAAGAGGGTCTTAACCACTGAGCCACATTCCCAGCCTTTTTAAATTTTTGAGACTGGGTCTTGTTAAGTTGCTTAGAGCCTTGCTAAGTTGCTGAGGCTGTCCTCCTAAGCCACTGGGAGGCGTGCACCACTGTACCTGGCCAGATTAAACCTGCTTTCTCCTCTGCAAAATGTGTAAGGTAATATCATCCACTGGGTCAGTAAATACTTCATGGAAAATGTCTTGCACAGTACCTTGCCTTACATTAAGCACTCAGAAATGCTAGCTGTTATTCTAGAACTCCCTGTTTATTTCCTGTGCAGCAACATAGGACCTTCTTCCTTTTGGCAGCCCTTTAAACATTTGAAGACATCTATTGAGTTTCCCCTCAGTCTTCTCTTGCCCTCCCACCCCACTCCCCGCCCAGCTACTACCCCTCTGCCTTGTCAATGTCCCTCTTTAAAATTTATATTAAAGCAGAGAGAGGTGGCACACACCTTGGGAGGCTGACACAGGAGGATCGAAAGTTGAGACCAGCCTCAGCAACTAAGTGAGGCTCTAAGCTACTTGGTAAGACCCTGACTCAAAAAATACAAAAAAGGAATGGCTCAGTGGCAAAGCACCTCTGGGTGCAATTCCCAGGGCCAAAAAAAAAAATCAGAAGAACACACAATAGCTGGGCATGGTGGTGCACACCTATAATCCCAGCAACTCAGGAGGCTGAGGCAGAAGCACAACAAGTTTGAAGCCAGACCTGTCTTAAAATAAAAAATAAAAAGGGCTAGGGATTTAACTCAGTGGTAAAGCACACCTGGGTTCAAGCTCCAGTACTCTCCCAAACCAAAAAAAGAAAAGGGAAAAAAAAAAAAAGAAAAATTCACAGTACTTACAAATGGTTCCATGAAGCCCATGAAGCTGGGTACAATGGTGCATGCCTACAATTCCAGTGGCTCAGGAGGCTGAGGCAGGAGGATAGTGAGGTTCAAAACCAACCTCAGCATTGGCAGGGCAAGGCGCTAAGCAACTCAGTGAGACCCTTTCTCTAAATAAAATACAAAAATAGTGCTGGGGATGTGGCTCAGTGGTTGAGTGCCCCTGCGGTCAATCCCAAGTACCAAAAAAATAAAAAAGGAAATGGTTACATGGTTCCACTTAGGCAGAACACAGAACTACTTTATTTACAACCCATGACTAAGGCTCAACTATCCTTATGGATCTCCTAAAGCTGTACCTAGAACCTAGCATGCTCTATGAATTGACATTATGAGGACTAAAAAAAAAAAAAGTTGTTGTGGGGGAATTAAGCAAGTACTCTGCCAATCTCTGCCAATGAGCTATAATCCCATCCAAGATCTTAATTTTTGTAGCCAACTGGAAGTCCCAGACCCCCTAGTGAATTAAACATTATATTCAGTCAAGCTCAAGGCTTTATCCTTAAGCCATATTTTGGGGGAAGAAGGGTCCAGTGTTTACTCAGTCCAAATTATGGGCTTTTTCATTATTATTTTATTTATTTTTCAACCCCCAGTAGTACTGGGGATTGAACCTGGAGCCTTACACATGCTACGCAAGTGTTCAACCACTGAACCACACAGCCCCAGCCCTTAAATTATGTTTTTCTAATATTCTTATCAAAGTTGGGGTATTACCTCCACTTTAAAAAAATAATATAAAACATAGCCACTGGGCATATCACTACAGTCTAGAGATTTCTTGAACATGAATTCTCTAATCATCATTCATTAGCTACTAATGTTCATTACCACTGAATTACATCCCCAGCCCTTTAAAAAACAAAAATTCTAGTTGTAGATGGACACAGTACTTTATTTAGTTATTTTTACGTGGAGCTAAGGATGGAACCCAGAGCCTCGAAGATGTGAGGCAATTGCTCTACCACTAAGCCACAACCCCAGCCTCCCCAGCCCTTTTTTTTTTGAGATAGTCTTACTAAATTGCCAGACTGGCCTTGAAGTTGCAGTGTTCCTGCCTCAGTCTCCCAAAAGTAGTTTGGATTACAGATATGTGCTACTATGCCCAGCTCCATAACTTTTTTCTTATTTGCGATGATTCACAAGTGAGAGACAAAAGCAGCTCCTGACATCTGGTAACTAACCTGACACAGCCAGCCACGCTTTGGAATCACTAGGGTTGTGACCTGGTGCTCACAGCTAAGCCAATGAGTTCTTAGGTTGGACACAATCTCACAAAACACCACATGAGACAAGGTCACTCAGTGACTGTGATGAAGTGAGACCAAAAAGCAAGATCATTTCACAATGTCTTTTAAGCACAAAACGATCAATGTGCAAACCACAAAATAGAAACATCCCCAACTCCCAAATGCAGCCTTAGCTTCATTCTAGTCTGCCCTCTTTCTAATTAAGATAATAATCATAGAATGACCCCTGCTTCCTTTGGCAGCACCCACTCCAGAGGATACCCACTTCCTTGAACCTTTCCCAAAATGTCTTCACCAAAGTCCAAGTCCTCTGAGACCTTTCTAACACCCTCTTTGCTGAGACACACCATGATTCCTAGTAGTATAATCAATCTCTCCTTCACTGCAATAAGCATTGAACTGTATTTGGTGTACTACATGTATATTCCTGGTGACCTTTAGCTGGAGTGCATTAAAACAAGACATACAATGTCCACAGTTTCCCAAATTCACTTCTTCGGAGATACTTGACAAGAAGGAAATAAGGTTGGGACCTGACTTGAGAATTCATGTTGGTATCTATAATCATATTCCTCTCTAAATATTCATAAACCATCTTTTTTAATAATCCAGAAGAATTGTGCCAGAAGATGAACATTAAACTTATCAAGTGTTGTTTCTAAAATTCATAAACAATACTTGCCTTTAGGCCACCCCCCATCTTTATTTTGAGACAGGGTCTCACTATGTTGTCTAGGCTAGTCTCCCAACTCCTGGGCTCAAGTGACCCTCTTACTTTAGCCTCCCTAGTAGCTGGGACTACATGCGTGTGCCACTGCTCCCGATTTCATTTTTTTAAGTGACCAGCCTTGATCTAGCCCAACATCTCCAACCCCAGGTGTATAATCTGAGTGATTAACCACACCAGAGCAAAAGGTAGCAAGAGATACAATTAAGGAAGCACATCCAGGACCACTTACTCTACCCCCAATTTTAGAACAGATACCTGAGTTGTTTCCCCTACATCAGCCATGAGCTAAGGAGGGACTGAAGTTTGGCTACTGGGCCTCTGGACTTAATGACCCTTAAGTGGATTTTAAACCTCTGGTCCTTTATGCAGACAGAAGAAAGAAAGGGATAAACCCTGAGGCTTGTGTCCCCAGAAGAACTCCCTTTTCCCAGCACCTCCCAAGCCTTGAAGGCTTAAGAGACTGGCCACTGAGAAAGGGCTGGGGTAGAAGGGACAGTAAATGCCATCAACAACTAAGAGAGGCAACTGCCACCTGCCTTGCTCTTTGAATAAGGGAAGGATTTGTCAACTACATAACCTCTCATCCCCATTTCTCAGCACATACACCCTCCTTAGTACTTGCCCCCCTAAATGACCCTAGGAGCCCTGGTTACTAAGGCAACCTGGGAGCAGCACATGCAGACAGAGATCAGAAACAGATGCGACTATTTTTAAACTAGACTAGGTGGCTCCAATGCTTTTCCCCACAAAGTGCTTTCCTCAAAGCCCCATTTGGTCTTGTTCTACATACCTACCCTTTGCTGATTTTCATCCAACTTACCCAAGCTTTGTGAGGGTGGGGTCCTTACCCCATTTTGGCATGAGACCTACTTTATGCTCCCTTCTTCTAGAGAATTTCTAAGCAAGTTTTCACTGCCTCCATTTGTTAAAAATAATTGCTCTTTTATTTCTTTGGAAAGTAGTGGGCCCTGCCCTACAGATTTCCAGGCCAAGCTAGGTTATATGAAGGCTCCCCTAGTCTTTGAGCTGGAATACTATGGTCCCGATCTTTTCAGGGGCCCAGCAGTAGTTCCTGTATTATCTAACCCAACCGGGCCCCAAATCGTCTCCTATGAGGCCTTCTCTCCTGGCCACCCACTTCCCAATTCTTTCCTGGCTCTCCCTCTGTGTAGGGATTTTTTTTCTTCCAAAACCAGTGCTAGGACCTGTGCTGTTCACAAGAGGACAAAATCAAGGATGTCCCCAACTTCCGTAAGAGGACATATCCCCTTAGTCAGTCCTTCCTCTCACTGGTTTCAGTCTGCATTCCTATGAAAGCCCCGACTTGATTGAGGCCTGAATAAAGGACAAGAAGACCCCCTTTAAAAGGGTGGTGATGGAACACACCAACCCAACCCCACCTCAGGAAATGCTCCTCAGAAGCATACTCCTTATAGTCTCTTGTCCTAGTCCTTGAGTGAGCCCTTCAGACAGGGCCTGGGAGGGCTTGGGGGGTAGGTAAGGACCCCTCAAACCCAGCCCTGAGAGGCTATACCAGGGGAGTATCCATTAGCCCCATCAATGTGGCATGGCTGTGATGCGCATGCTCTGGGAAGCAATGGGGTAAGTCACCATGGGAGTGGTAGTGTGGCTCATTGTGATTCCTGCCAAGGGTTGGGCCATCGATACAGCCACAGGAGCTACAGGAGCCACAGATACAGCCACAGGAGCCATGGAGACAGGTGGTGGTGCCATTCCCTGGGCGATTGTTTGAGCCAGAGCAGCTGACAGTGGTGTGATCTCTGGGTTCAAATGTGGGGGTGGGGGTGGTGGAGCAGCAGGAGGTGCAGCATTAGTTGGGGGAGCAGCTGGAGCTCCAGTGGGGGCCACCAGTTCTTGCTGGGACACAGGACGAGGCTGTAGAGCCTGGCTGCTGAGAGTAGTGTGAGTCTGGGCAATGCCATGATTAAAAGTGGCAACAGTGCCCACAGTGGGGGCCAGAGTTTGCTCAGTTGCTGGTGCAGTAGAACTCAGGGTCATGACCTTGGCCTGATTGCGGAACTGGGCATTTTGTTCCAGAAGTACCTCATTAGTAGCCAACAGGTTGCTGACCTGCTTCTTTAGCTCTTCTACACGCTTCCTGAGCATAGCATTCTCCTCCTCTAGCAGTCTGCATTCTACTCCTCGGGGTGGAGCCAAACTATATTCATATGATTCAAAATGGGGGCCATCAGGAGGGCAGCATCCACCTCTCCGGCGCTTGGGCCCTGGCTCATGGTCCTCAAAGCCCCTGTCAGGTAGGTCATAGATATCATAGAGATCATGGCGTCGTCCTGGGGGCACTGAGCCTGTTGAGCCTCCACCACCGGTACCTCCCCCACCCCGAGCATCAAACTCAAAATCCCTTTGCAGATGACGGAACTTGCACTTGGCTCCTCTCTGACAGTCACCCTTGAGAAAGTCACGGCAGATAGGAACCTCCTCCTTGCCATTTGGTAGGTCAGCCGGTGAAAGCCCCAGGCCAGCAGCTACTTTCTGCCTCAGCCGAGGTGGAAGCTCTCCCGTCTTCTTATAGCCATCCTCATCCTCCTTGGAACCATGAATGAAACGGCAGTTTGGGCGGCTACACTCTTTGTTCTGGAAGTCATGGCAGAAGATGAATTCATTTTTGCTTACCCCTAAGTTGGATACCTCACTCATGTCTGGGTGGCGATATCGACAACGCTTTCCTCTCTTGCACACATTCCTCAGGAAGTCTCTACAGATGGCATCTGAGCTGGCCCCACCAGTGCCTGCTGCTGCTCCAGTGGCCTCCTCACTGCTACCACCTCCAGGGCCTCCACCGCTGCTGCCGGTACCATTGGCATAGCTGTCCCGGTCAGGCATTCTGGCCCCCTCCAACTCAGGGCCTTCCTCCTTCTCTTGCCACTCTTGGTGACTGCTAAAAAAAGAGAATTGTATTATACAGGAGTCTTTCAGAGATCCCACTTGTCCTGACTGTAGAGCAGACAGTCCAATAGGGCAATGGCTTTGTAGATGGTACATGTAAAGAACGAGAATTCTGGCTGGACTGGTTGATTTGCCAGAAGTCCTGCCCAGGCTGTTGTGCACCTGGTCTTGGTCAGAATGATTCACACTTGCCTGGCTAACAGAGGAGGGAGTTGGGATGAAGCCACCTCATCTCACTAATGGTGATAGGTCAGGGGTAGTGGCAGAGGGAGAGCATAGTGTGGATTTTATCTTCCCTTCTGGGCTGACCTTATTAAAGTTGTGGAAGTGAAATTAAAATTGCTATTGGTTTCTGAATAGGTTGGGAGGAGACCGGGAATAGTGCCCAAGCTGGGCTGCTTAGCTGCTAGGACTTGTGGAGATGGGACACTGGTAATAAAACGTCTCAACTCTTTTCCATGAAATCTTAGGGGAAGGCTCTGAATGCATCATATCTCTAGAACCCAAGAAATCCTGGGTAAATGGACTGATGTCACCAGCTTGAGGGTAATCCCTAAACCTACCAATTTTTAATATCGTTTTGTAGTCTACTATCATTCTCAATTCCAGGAAAATCAGCTTCCTCCACTTTAGGGGAGGAGTTCTAAGCTGTAATCTCCACTTCTGGACCCCCTAACATTGGTAAGGTCAAGATTGGAAAGAGTTAATGTTACAGGAATAAGTGACCTTTCTTTTTCTATTCCCCACCCACCTTTTACCTCTCCATGAAAATATCCCACTGACATCAAACCACACCATCCCTTACCCCATAAAGATCCTTTTATTTATAGACTCTATAAAAGCTTTTTAAGTCTCCTATTTCCCAAGAGAGCTCTGGAATGTCAGTCCACTGCCCTAGTTATAGCCCTCCCCTCTCTCCACCCCCAAGAAGACAGGGAGTCCCTGCCACCACGTGTCTTAACTTCCTAAACCTTTCCTAGGCAGTGTTCAGGCTCCCTCTGCTGTTCAAATAGGAAAATTTCATATTATTTCCCCTTAAACTTTGGGGAATCTCTTCTGATATCTCTGGACAGTCTACTGACCTATCTTGGTCTTTATATCTTCCTAAATAACCCACCAGGTCAGAGGCCAGAGTTACACAAGAATCTATGTTAAAAAAAAAAGATCCTCTTCCTTCAAATGGAGGTAGCCCTAAAATAATACAAATGGTAAAAGATACAAACTTACTGAAAGGAAAATGACCAAATGATCCATGTGTTGCAAATTCCACCAGACAGATAACTTGGTATGATACTCCACCCCACCAAACTCTCCCAGAATTGATACCTGAGGTAGCTCAGGTGAAGTCCGGGGCTCCTGTGGGTCTCCACCTCCACATCACTGCTGGGTTCTGAACAGGAAAAAAATAGACACGTGGGTGGGAGAAAGAGTAAGAGTGGAGGACCAAGAGGTGGTTGTCAACCAGAAAGAACTCTGAAAACAGTAAAAGCACTGGAAACTTAAGAATTTCCTTAGGGTTCAAACTGAACTTCACCTGTCAAAGGGAGAAGTCGCCAGTAAGAGGAGTAAGAAATAGAACTGATTCAGAAAACCTGAAAGGATGGACTGAAAAACCTGTCTTTCAGTGAACCAAAGGGTGAGGGGGAGCCCTGACTCAAGATGAAGGAGGCTATAGGGACCAAAGCCCTGCCTAGGACTGGAGTTACGAATGCTAAATGGCAGCAACTGACAGTGCAGCGGGAAGGCAGATTAGACTTGGGGGCGGTGATTATGACGCTTCCAAGCACCCTAGAGTTTGCGAAAAGTCTAGGAGTTTCCCCGCAGCAAGTCTTCTAGCTTGGTAGGTTCCATGTAGCGCTGCGCTCACTCAGCAGAGGACCAGGTGAATAGGGCACTAAGGAAACACAAAGTAAAGCGGGGAAAGGGAGCCCTAGATGACATCAAGCTGAGATGGGCAGGGCTGTGACGTCACGGAGCTGGCGTTTGCTCGCTAAGCGGGGTCAGTCAGAAAAGGGGGTCTTCCTGGGATGTGAGGAAGAGCCAGCTCCATTCTGGGGGGCTTGTGAGGCCCGGCAGAGCCCAGTCGCTGGGCCGGCCGACTCCTCCCCTCCGGGCGCGGCCTCCACCTAAGTCTCCCGCCTCCCTCACCTGCCGCCGCCGCCGTAGTTGCTGCTGCCGCCTGCCGGTCCTCTAGCTTCGACAAAGAGCCGCCCACCCTGTCGCTCTTCCGCTTCCTGCGGAAGAAGTGACGCTCTAGTCACCAGACCCGGAACTACACTCTATAGTGCACGGAGTAGTTCTGAGAAGCGACACAGGAAGTTCCCAGCAAGCTTTGCGTGTTGCCATAGCAACCCGTTCTAACACCACAGTCAATTACTTCTCAAGCACAATTCCGCACAGCGCATGTCCCTGGCCAAGTAGGGTGCCGGAATTTCYCCCAAACCTCAAAAGGTTTCAAGCGCACACAACACCCTCCTCAGCCCCATCCATAAGTAGACCACATCATACACCCCAGGCTTTGGCTTTATATGTTTCTTAGCATTCTCCACAGCACAGGCAGGGAACCGGTACAAACTGTATGACAGAATGCCCACCCAAAGGAACCGAAATAAACACGAAAAAAACGATTTGAATTCTTCAGCTAAAACAGAAGGGATGATTTATTGTACACGCGTTACACTGGCCACAATTGAGAAACGAGTTAGTCCAGAATGCCAAAGGTCCCGGGCAAAGGACCAACAGGGGATGAAAAAAGCAAGGTGGGTCTTCTCTCAGTGGTGATCTTGGCGACGAGGTGGCGATGTAAGTTCTTAAATCCACCGAGACAAAACGTGGACAGTAGGAGGCAGTCCAACTTGTACCAACGTCCCCGGCCCCTGGCATTCCGTATCTCTACTCCTTTGGCCTCCACGGTGCACAAGTTAGTTTACTTGGACCTCTGCCTCATCTTTCTTCTTTTGCGCTTCAGCCTGAAAAGGAGACACAAGAATACATCTGCCCACACACAAAGTTGTTTTTCCTTCCCACATTAAAATTTACTGAATACATGGCCTAATAAAATCAACAAGCATCAAACCGTCCTGTGTTCAGTCCCTGGTTCCGCCAAGGCAATGCTCTAACATTTTTCTCCTACAGTTTTCTTCAAGTTTTACATTTAAACCAAATGTTCCTAGGCGACTTTTTTCAAGGTGAATCGCCTACCATCCTCACCCTGGGCTGATTATGTCAACATACCTGCGCATTCGCTTCTTCCTCCACTAGAAAATCACAAGAGGCATAAGGGGGGAAAAAAAGAGAATGTCTTATTAAAAGGTTTAAGTAAGGCTTTTAGTCCACTATTTAGAATCGGATAGGTTCCTCACCAAATATTAAAGCCTGGTCACAACAATCACATCAGTATTAGACACATTTACATTAAGCTCCAATTCTGCGTTTGTTTACACTTGCCCTACCCAGGACTTCGCTGTCTTCTGCTTCTCCTCCAAACTATGCTACCTTCTCCCACCATCTCTTCGGCACTTTTGAGAACCCAGCAATTGGAAATTATGGCGGACTTTCCTTACCAACTCCTACCTCCCCAAGTTCCCTGGTAGAGACCGCTCACCTTGGCTCTCATGGCGCAGAGGTTTCTACAGGGAAAGAGAAAAAGGCTACAGTTAGTTTGCTGTGATGATGGTAAATATAGAGCTCAGATGTTAACGGATTGTACGCGGAATCCGGACAGACATCACTAACACTCACCCAAGAAGATGGCGCTAAGGCCGAGAGAGCGCCAAAGTTCCGCTTGCAGCTATTTAATGGAGCGACAGTAGTCGTCACTTCCGCCGGCCGGCCCTGCCCCTAGAGGTGGGGCTCCCCAGTCAAAGCAACAATGGCTTTCTTCCGCCCTCAGTTAAATGATCCGGCGGTTCTCTTGGGTAGCAGAGTGTTTTGAATGGGAGTTACCAGTTTCCCCCTCCCCAGCCATTTTTGAGGACTTCGTATTATTTCAGCGTGGACATCTATTTCCAGTACAAGACCGAGACATGCAGACGGGAAAAAGATTATGGCTTCCGCCTTCCCTCATTGCTTCTTGGGAGTTGCAGTATCTTAGCGAAGTCCTCCATTTTATTATGGAATGGTGGGGGCTGTACAAAAATTTCTGATGTATTTTACTGGTTTGTTTTATTTTCTAAGGTAATTTGCTGTAGGGAAATTTGATATAGGAGCTTGCAGGTTCTTAAGAACATGGAAGGATGTAAAGTGGGGAGTCAGGAGGCTAAAAAGAGACCTTTATCACTCACTGTTTGAGATACGTCAGCTTTTTTCTACAACTCCAAGAATGAAAAGGCCGAGTGTGGTCTTTCCCTGACAAGGCCTGAGATAGAATGTCACTAGAGACTCCTGGTCACAACGCGTAATTTGTACAGAAAACTGTTAGGGTTGTTTTTAATTTTCTTTTTTTTAAAGTCAACTGTTTTGAAATTTCTTTTTTTTTTTTTTTTTTTTAAAGAGAGAGTGAGAGAGGGAGAGAGAGAGAATTTTTTTAGTATTTATTTTTTAGTTCTCGGCGGACACAACATCTTTGTTGGTATGTGGTGCTGAGGATCGAACCCGGGCCGCACGCATGCCAGGTGAGCGCGCTACCGCTTGAGCCACATCCCCAGCCCCTGTTTTTAATTTTCGAGATTGGGGATTGTACCGAAGGGCACTCTACAACTGAGTTACATCCCCCAGCCCTTTTTATTTTTTATTTTGAGACGGTTCAAATTGCCATGGATCCTCAAAATTTGCAGTCCTCCTGGGTTAGCCTGAGGAGTCCTGAATTAGAGTCAAGGGAATGCAAGATTAGCTAACATCTTTAGGGAAAATATGACATTTGATGTTAAAGAACCTTAATCTTATGATATAGTCAGATGAGATACACTGAAAACAACCTCAAAGATTTGGATACAGAGTACTTAAGGATAAAAAAGAACCCTTAGCCAAACAAGGCATTTTACCACTTAAAATAGTATAAGATTTTTGTGTCTATAATTTTTTCTTCTTTTGAGCAGTTTCCCAAGGTTTTTWAAACTAAGGGTTCTTGTTCCACATGTTTAGGTAGTTCTAGAATTGTCACAAAAAAAAATTAAACTTTTTAAAATAAAATAAAATCCTAGCATATCAGATCCATCAGGATTGCCAACTAGTCTATAAACTCTGAGGGGAAATGTCACTTTTTTTTGCCCATTCTTCCTCAATACTGGGGATTGAACCCAGGGGCATTCTGTCACCAAATCAAACCCCTCACCCAGCTCTTTTTTATTTATTTATTTAGTGGTGTTGGGGATTGAATCCAGGCAGGGCCTTGTGCTTATAAGGCAAGCACTCCACCAACTAAGCTATATCCCTAGCCCTTATTTATTTATTTTTTGAGACAGGATCTTCCTAATTGCTTAGGGCCTCTTAAATTCAAGGCTGGCCTTGAATTTGCAATCCTGTCTCAGCCTGCTGGGTTATAGGTGTATACCACCATGCCTGGCCCTTTTTAAAAATTTGAGACAGGGTCTCACTAAATTGACTGCCTTGAACTCAAATCCTCATGCTTCTGTCTCCCAAGTGGCAGGGACTGCAGGTATGTACCTCCATCCCTGGCTTTTAACTACTTTTTAAAACATTTATCATAGCAAAACTAAAAGTAGAGAGATTTCCCACAATGGCACAAACCTGTAATCCCAACTACTCAAGAGGCTAAGATGAATCATAAGCTTGAGGCCAGCCTGGGCCATTTAGCAAGACCCTGTCTCAAAAAAATAAAAGAGCTAGGGTATAACTCAGTGGTATAATGCCCCTATGTCCCATCCCCAGTACCTCAAAAAATTTATTTCCTCCACATATTCCCTGCCCTCACAGTCAGAGTCACCCTCCTTATCAACATCCCCAGTGATATGTTACAACTGACAATCTACATTCACACCAACACCCGTAGAACCACTACTTCAGACTAATTTTGGTGATGTACTTTCTAAGAGTTTAGATAAATACTTACAGTATTGTTTTGGTTTTGGTACTAAGAATTGAACTCAGAGGCAGTTAACCACTGAGGAACACCTCCAGCCATCTTTGTATTTTGTTTAAAGACAGGATCTCAGTTTCTTAGAGCCTTGCTAAATTGGTAAGGCTGGGTTTCCTGAGCTGCTGGGATTACAGGAGAGTGCCACCATGCCTAGCCAATTGTTTTTTTGTAGTATACATTAATTGTCCTAGTCCTGAACAAATGACAGCAATGAAGGATGCTTCTGCTTCAGGAAATCAAATCACAACCAAAATGCCAGATTTGTTATCTTCAAAGAATCTAGGATTCATGTAAACCCACTATCCCCAATCAATCCTTGTTTCAGAAAGGTACAGTGCAGCATTAGAAAAACTTCCAAGTTATTCATCACTGCCTGGACTTATACTCTTCCTACCTTTGTTAAAATAAGAGCAACATACAAAGGCACAATATTATGAGCAAATCCAAATTTATTTTAATGCTATATCATCTTCAATGTGTTTAAAAACCTCATAAGTTAGTGGGAGCCCTGATTCCCGGGACAGCATGCCAGAGGTACTGAAATGTCATCTTTCTCTATAAACCCCCAGCAATTCATCCAATCCAAGTCCATAGCTTCAGAAAGCCAGGAGTTCTCTTCAGTYTACTCCTCTGGTTCCAAGGTATTTCTTTCAGGGGAGGGAGGTCAAAATATTTCAAACAGGGAATAAAACCACAGTTGAACTTCCAGCTTAGGTGTTTTGTAAATGGAGGAGCAAGGAAGGCCCCACTGACTCCARAGAAAAGGACAGGTGAGATGGTTTATTTCTTTACAGTTTTGTCAAGGGTGGGGGTGGGGGGTGAGCCTGAAGAACAAAAACAACTAAAAAGA